GCGGTGGGGGTGCCGGCGCCTGTTCTTGTAGGGTGGGGGGTCCCTGAGAAAAAGCGCACACAGAAGGTCCGGGAGGGTGGGGGTGTCAGACGGGGTGGGGGGACGCAGTGGGTGTGCCAGCGCCTGTTTTTGTAGGGTGGAAGGTCCCTGAGAAAAAGCACAGAGAGGGTCCAGGAGGGTAGGGGTGTCAGACGTGGTGGGGGGCGCGGTGGGGGTGGCAGCGCCTGTTTTTTCTAGGGTGGGGGGCCCTTGAGAAAACCACACACAGAGGGTCCAGGAGGTGGGGGTGCCAGACGTGGTGGGGGGGAAGCGCGGTGGGGGTGCCGGCGCCTGTTTTTGTGTAGGGTGGGGGGTCCCTGAGAAAAAGCACAGAGAGGGTCCAGGAGGGTGGGGGTGTCAAACGTTGTGGGGGGGCGCGGTGGGGGTGCCGGCGCTTGTTTTTGCATGGTGGGGGGTCCTTGGGAAAAACCGCGCAGAGAGGGTCCAGGAGGGTGGGGGCGTCAGACGGGGTGTGGGGTGTGGGGGGGCGCGGTGGGGGTGCCGGCGCCTGTTTTTGTAGGGTGGGTGGTCCCCTGAAAATAAATACACGCAGAGGGTCCAGGAGGGTGGGGGTGTCAGACGGGGTGGGGGAGCGCCGTGGGGGTGCCGGCGCCAGTTTTTATAGGGTGGGGGGTCCCTGAGAAAAAGCACAGAGAGGGTCCAGGAGGGTGGGGGTGTCAGACGGGGTCTGGGGGCGCAGTGGGGGTGCCGGCGCCTGTTTTTGTAGGGTGGGGGTTCCATTAGAAAGAACAAACAGAGAGGGTCCAGGAGGGTGGGGGTGTCAGACGGGGTAGGGGGGCGCGGTGGGGGGGCCGGCGTGTGTTCTTATAGGGTGGGGGGTCCTTGAGAAAAAGCACAGGGTCCAGGAGGGTGGGGGTGTCAGACGTGGTGGGGGGGTGCCAGGGCCTGTTTTTGTAGGGTGGGGGGCCCTTGAGAAAACACACGGGGAGGGTCCAGGAGGGGGGCGCGGTGGGGGTGCCGGCGCCTTTTTTACCTAACAGCGAAGACTGATAGGTTTCTAGTGGGCTCGAAAGAAAGCATCATGACTCCCCAGGGGGGTCTGGGCAGATGCCGGACGGGTGCCGCGGGAATCCGGGCACTCATTTCTTAGCCAACAGTAACGCACTTCGTGGTCTTCGAGTTCCCAGAACTCCATTCCTGGGCATGATTTTGAATGCCCGGAGCCAACTGTAGGCCACTTCGTGTTCTTCGAGTTCCCAGAACTCCATTCCTGGGCATGATTTTGAATGCCCAGAGCCAACTGTAGGCCACTTCGTGGTCTTCGAGTTCCCAGAACGTCATTCTTGGGCATGATTTTGAATGCCCGGAGCCAACTGTAGGCCACTTCGTGGTCTTCGAGTTCCCAGAACTCCATTCTTGGGCTTGATTTTGAATGCCCGGAGCCAACTGTAGGCCACTTCGTGTTCTTCGAGTTCCCAGAACTCCACTCCCGGGCCACATTTTGAATGCTGAGGCAGGCTGATGCTGAGGCTGAGGCAGGCTGAGGCTGAGGCAGGCTGAGGCTGAGGCCGAGGCTGAAGGCAGACTGAGGCTGAGGCTGAAGCAGGCTGAGGCTGAGGCTGAGGCAGGCTGAGGCTGAGGCAGGCTGAGGCTGAGGCAGGCTGAGGCTGAGGCTGAGGCTGATGCAGGCTGAGGCTGAGGCAGGCTGAGGCTGAGGCCGAGGCTGAAGGCAGACTGAGGCTGAGGCTGAAGCAGGCTGAGGCTGAGGCTGAGGCAGGCTGAGGCTGAGGCTGAGGCAGGCTGATGCTGAGGCAGGCTGAGGCTGAGGCTGAGGCTGCAGGCTGAGGCTGAGGCAGGCTGAGGCTGAGGCCGAGGCGAGGCTGAGGCTGAGGCTGAGGCAGGCTGAGGCTGAGGCTGAGGCAGGCTGATGCTGAGGCAGGCTGAGGCTGAGGCTGAGGCTGATGCAGGCTGAGGCTGAGGCAGGCTGAGGCTGAGGCCGAGGCTGAAGGCAGACTGAGGCTGAGGCTGAAGCAGGCTGAGGCTGAGGCTGAGGCAGGCTGAGGCTGAGGCTGAGGCAGGCTGATGCTGAGGCAGGCTGAGGCTGAGGCTGAGGCTGATGCAGGCTGAGGCTGAGGCAGGCTGAGGCTGAGGCCGAGGCTGAAGGCAGACTGAGGCTGAGGCTGAAGCAGGCTGAGGCTGAGGCTGAGGCAGGCTGAGGCTGAGGCTGAGGCAGGCTGATGCTGAGGCAGGCTGAGGCTGAGGCTGAGGCTGATGCAGGCTGAGGCTGAGGCAGGCTGAGGCTGAGGCCGAGGCTGAAGGCAGACTGAGGCTGAGGCTGAAGCAGGCTGAGGCTGAGGCTGAGGCAGGCTGAGGCTGAGGCAGGCTGATGCTGAGGCAGGCTGAGGCTGAGGCTGAGGCTGATGCAGGCTGAGGCTGAGGCAGGCTGAGGCTGAGGCCGAGGCTGAAGGCAGACTGAGGCTGAGGCTGAAGCAGGCTGAGGCTGAGGCTGAGGCAGGCTGAGGCTGAGGCAGGCTGAGGCTGAGGCTGAGGCAGGGTGAGGCTGAGGCTGTAACTGCGACTGCCGTTGCCACTGCGACTGTCATCGCGAATGCGACTACGACTGCGAGAACAGCAGAATTCTACAACTGGATTTCCATCTGAATCTTAAGGGGAATGCTTCCAGATATGCTCCTACACATCGCTGTTAGGTTGCTTTGCCGGGATAATTTTGTAGGGTGGGGGTCCTTGAGAAAAGCACACACAGAGGGTCCAGGAGGGTGGGGGTGTCAGACGTGGTGGGGGGGCGCGGTGGGGGCGCCGGCGCCTGTTTTTGTAGGGTGGGGGGTCCTGGGAGACGACCGGTTCTGCGAGAAACACACACTCAGGAGGCAAGGCTGCTAGCTTGCTGGAAGCTCTCGGGGCACTGGAGGACGCTCAAGTCAGTGTGCCTCCTTCTGCAAGCTGGGCTACTCCATGCGCGTGATCCCGCCGACGGCGCACACCGGCGCTTTGCAGAGGCCATGGCTTCTGCCGTCCGCGCCTGCCTGGAGCAACTCAGCGGGTCCGCCCCCTTCTGGAGACTCTTGGAAGCAAGCGCAGCTCAAACTCAACCGAGGTGGGCTCGGGCCCCGCTCCTCCGAGAGGCACGCCGCGGCCGCCTACTTGGCCTCGCGCGCCCGCGGCGCCGAACTCTGCCGACAGCTCTACGCAGCCTACGACGACGCCGACGGCGGGGACGGAGGCAGCCTGGCGGCGGCGACGCAGGCATTCAACGACGCAGTCCTGCCAGCGGACCGAATCGAGTTCGACCCTTCCAAACATGGGGACCAGCGGCTCCTCTCCGAGAAGGTAGACGACACCGTCCACGACGAGCTCTGGCAGCGCGCCTCGCCAGCCACGTGAACCCACCTCAACTTGGTGGCGGCCCCAGGCGCTAGCGCCTTCCTGCAGGCCCCCCCGAGCCGGGCTCTTGGCACCGACTTCCCGCACAGCTTGATGCAGGTAGCGCTTCAACGCCGCCTTCGACACCAGCTGCTCGACGAGGAGGCCTTCTGCCTGGCGTGCGGAGAGGTGATGGACGTGTTCGCAGATCACGCGCTCACTTGCAGCTGCCACGACGACCCCGCACGAAGCGCCACAACTGCCTCCGGAACCAGGCCTGGCACGAGGCGGTGGCCGCGGGCTACGCCGGGGCGGAACTCGAGCGCCCGGGCCTGCTGCCGCCGCGCGCGCCCGGCGAGGGCCCCCAGGCCGGGGAGGCCGGCGGCGACGACCTGGACGGCGACGGGAGGTGCCCCGAGGACGTTTTCGTCCCGCGCTGGCGAGGCGGCACGCCTGCGGCGTGGGACTTCGCTGTGACCTCGGGCCTCCGCGCGGACCTGCTCGCACTTTCGGCCGCGGAGGGCGGCGGCGAGGCGGCGACCCGCTACGAGGAGCAGAAGCGCCTGCACCTGGACACGGCGCGCAGATGCTCAGAGGCCGGCCTGACGTTCATACCGACGGTATGCGAGGCCCACGGCGGCGGCTGGGCCGCGAGGCGCGACGCGCCTTCGCGGTGCTCGCCAAGCGCGCGGCCGACGCTATTGGAGACGACGCCGCGGTCGCGGCCGACCAGGTTGCCCAGCGACTTTCAGTTTCCTTGCGCAAGGAAAATGCGCGGGCAGTGCTGCGACGCCTCCAGCCGCGAGCGGGCGCGACGGCCGCGCGCCTGGCCGCGGCCACGGCAGCCGCCACGGCGGATGCCGTGTGAGCTGCCTCCAGACCCCCAGAGCTTCTGACCACGACGACCCCCGACCCGCCGACCCACGACCCCCAGACCCACGCCCCCTTGACCTCTGACCCAATCGGTGGCGGGAGTTTCGGCCACGCTTTCCGGACAGCTTCTGACAGCTGATTTCGGCGCGCATTTGGCGTGTCGTGGCCTCCCCGTTTGGAGCTGGCTGTGGCAAGTGCGCAGACTCCCGGTCGAGTCCCTCAGAACATTCGGCCTGGCGGTGAGGCAACGGGGCCCAGGAAGGTGGGGGTGTCAGACGTGGTGGGGGGGCGCGGTGGGGGTGCGACAGGGAGACGTTAATTATCCATATGGAAAAGGAGTGGAGGTGGAGGGGGAGGAGGAGGAGGAGGAAGGAGGAGGAGGAGGAGGAGGAGGAGGAGGAGCAACCAACTCCCCGGGGCGGGGCCCCCTGCAATTCATCATAGCCTCAGCAGCTGACTTGACGGAGCTGCGCGGGGCCGTTGGCGCGTGCAGCAGGCGGGGCGGGCAGATGTTATGTCCGTTCGGTGCCGCCCTCCCCGCACTGGCGCGGGCGGGGGGGGGGCGGCGAGCCCAGGGTTGAGTCGGGCGTGCCCCTCTATGAGAGGATGGGGGGCGACTTCTGAATTTTACCATGTTTAAATATGAATTGTTTATTTTTCATTTGTCCTCCAATATCTGCCTGTAGGGGGACATGCCCGACCTAAGCCCAGGGTGCAGGTGGCGACGATCGGCTCCGCTGCCGCCCTGGCTCGAGCCCAGGCAACGATTTTGAGTGCTCCGCGCGTGCAAGGGGCACCATGCGGGTGGACGGCAAATGGTACCGCACGATTTGGCTCCAGAGTGAGGCCACGGTGCAGATCATCGACCAGCGGTTTCTTCCCCACGACTTCGTCGTGGAGGACATCCGCAGAAGCTGCCTGTGTGCCACCACCGTACCTGGCCAGGGCCATCCTGGGCCCCAGGATAGCTCACAAACCCTCAAGGCCTCAGGCATGAGGGGGCGTGCGCCATGCCATGACCCAGGGTGGCCCTGGCCAGGCGGTGGTGGTGTCTTGGTGTATACACGCCTTCCGCATAGGCGCGTGTCGACCAAACTCCGCTCAAAATCGGTCCGCGGACACCTAGGGTTCATCCCGGTCTGTTTTCCGAGCTGCGTCCAGCCGCAGCGAGAACCTTCAGGAGCACCCCGAAGACCTCCGAAACAAGAGTCTCAGAGTAGGGGGTGCAGTGCGTGGGTGGTGCCCGCGCAGAGGACATCACCACGGTGGAGGAGATGGCCGCCGCCATCAAGGACATGGCAAGTCTTGCTTCAAGGCCCCGGAATCTGACCCACTCGGAGGTCCCTGGAGATCCCAGGGGGCCCCCCGCTGCCCTGGGAGGCCCCAGAGGCCTCCGGAGGCACCTGGAAGAGGCCCGACGAGGGCCAAGAGCGTCCGATGAATCTCCCCTTTCCGACCCTCGAGGGTCGAGGGCAGAGTTCGGCACCAAGGACATGCACGTGCGCGGCGCGGGCCTGATCGGCTGCGCCGCCGCGTACGGCATCTACCTTGCCGCCAGGGCGGCCGCCGCGGCCGACGAGCTCGTGCTCGAGGCGGTGGCGGCGGCCGGCGTGAGGCTGCGGGCCACGAGGCCGCGCGGAGGGGGGGCGAAGTGGCGAGGTGGAGCAGTGGAGGACGTGGAGGGTGAAGCGGGGGGCCTGCAACCTTCGCCTTGCAGCAAGACCCAGGGCGGAACGTTTTACCCTGTTCGTGGCCTCCGCGGACCCTCGCCGAGCCCTGGGACCTCCGAAAAGGACTCGGGATGAAAAGCCAGTCACGCGGAATGGGTCGAGATTTCTGGAGGTTCGCGTTGTGAAACAAACGTGGCGTCGGGAGTCTGGGGAGAGGGAGGAGGCTGACCTTTGGGGATGAGCCTTTTGTCAGGGACCGCATGCGTCATAAAACCCTGGCCTGGCGATTGCATTGGGTAAAATAGGGGCTTAGTCACCAGTGGCTCGCTGTCCCGCAGGTAGCTCCCCCCACAGCCTCTCCCGTTTCTGCGGGGGCTGCGCTGACGTGGTCAAGAGGAGAAGGAGGAGGAGGAAGAGGACGAGGATGATGATGAGGAGGAGGAGGAGGAAGACGGTCAGTGAAAATCCAAGACGCATCAGCCATGTTGCAATTTACTTTCCAAGTTCCCTATTCAGAGTTCCTATCAGATTTCCTTGCTTGCGGGAAGTGCCCCATTCAAAGACAACAATCTGAGAATCCTGCATCGTGCCGAGGGGTTCCAACGCCACGAATCAACGTGACTGCTGCGTCCTGATAAACCGTGTTAGAACGCCCGTCCTGGGACTTCAACACCGCGGAGCAACGTGATTTGTCGCGTCCTGACAGTCTTGAATCGTGCCACAACACAATTTCTGGGACTTCAGCGATGCGGATTTCTAGAACTGCTGCGAACGTTCAAAAACAATATGTGCGACGTGATGGCGATAGCCACATTTTGAAACGATGCCGTCCTCCATCCTTGAAGCGGCTCCAAACTTTGAAGACGAAAATGCGCGGTGCCAAGGCGAGAGCCATATTTTGAAAGCGACCAGCCCTCCATCCTCCAAACCGTTGCACGCTACTATGACAAGTGCGCGCGGTGCTAAGGCGAGAGTCACACTCAGGAAACGATCCGTCCCCCTCTATCCCTGAAGCTGCTGCAGATTCAGCTCCAGGATCGTAAATAGCGAGGAAGTCGCAGGCGAAACTCCCGGCTCGCCCTGCCGGCACCCTTCGCCGCCGTCGCCGCTGGGCCCCGATGCCGGTCCGGCCGGCTCGCCGCCGCCCGCCACCGCCGCCCGTGCAATGCGATTGCAATCGCATTGCATTGCAATCTCAGCGCGTTGCGCTGCAGTCGCATTGCGTTGCTTTGAATTGCTTCGCATGGCGTCGCACCACATAGATTGCACCACATGGATTGTACCACCTAGATTGCACCACATTGATTGCACCACCTAGATCGCACCGCATAGATTGCAAGAGTTCACTGTTTTGGTCCACCCTGGCTACCATGTATAAGGAAAAGGATGGAGGAGGAGGATGAGGAGAAGGAGGAGGAGGAGGATGAGGACGTCCGTGTCCCTAGAGATCAGCAGAGGCCCCCACAGCTTCTTCCCGTAGCTCCCCAGAGAGGTCTCCGGAGGCCTCCCGGAAACGGCCAGGAGGCCAGGAGGGCCGAAAAGCCTCGATTCTCCGCTCCTCCTCCTCGGTCGGTCGGTCGGTCGAAAGGCGGAAAGTCGACGCCACAATGGAGAGATAAGGGCGAGAAGACCACTGGGTGAAGAACGGAGCAGCGGCAAAAGCAAGCAGATCAGCAAGTGGACCTGAGCAGATGCCAGCGCCAGAAGGCGCGATCCCACACTGGCCGTGGGCTGGCACAAACAAAACAATGGGGTACTATCGCTTAAAGTGGATGGGCACTTAAGACAGAGAAAGGAAATACACGAGTGGTAAGAAAAGAATAGACCTTCCCCCAAGGTTGACAAGAGTGCTACTGCCAGGGGCGCAGCGAAGCTTCCCATATGGAACACTTCACACCATGCAACTACTGCCATTAAGGTGGCGCGCCTGGCGGAGCTATGGTGGGCTCGGAAATCCTTCATTGCATGGCCATTCACACTCCTATCTAGTTCGTGGTGGTCAGCCACGCTGCCACTCTGCAACTCAATAGGATAATGATGAAGAGAAACAAGAGAAGCAGACCGTCACGTCACATCACACACTCGGGTCCGACTGAACTGTGGGATTGTGGATCATACAATCCATGGCCATCGTTCCAACCACGTAGGGGTCGAGTGGGGATGTGAACCGTCGTAGTCCTATCGGCACCTCCCAGCCGTCGTCACAACTGCTGAGGTCAATCCTGCTCCTGAGTGACCGCTCGTCATTGAGGGTCCATCGGAGCCTGCTAGCAGCTGCAGACGGGAGAGGGGAGGGGAAAGGATTACAACTCAACTCGGGATAGCGTACCGAAATCTCCTGGACCAAAGAGGCCGCCAAAAACTGGCACAGCAGGGACGGATATGTCTTGGTGTGCACACTGCGCCACAAACCATCAACGCCAACCCCCGATAGACCCCTATGCGGCTGGGAATGGGTGCACCTGCCTGCCCCTTCTTTAGCATCCAAGATGGTGGCCATGGTTGGCACGTGGATGGCAAGGAGGGTGGTCGGTTTCAAGACTCTAGCTCCAAACATGCACTGGTGAATGTGGTGAGCCTTGACCCCAGGAAGCCCCAGAAGACGAAGCATTTGGGGGAGATGCCAAGAGCTGGGGGCCTCAGGAACCAGGGGGTTGGTGGAGGGATGCTCCATGATGGCTGGCACCTCGTGAACCCAAGCCTCGTACAAGAGCCTGACTGTAGCGCGCAAGAGTACATTGCCAAGCCTTACCTGTTCACGCTCACGACGGTTGAGATGCCCTAGCCCCCACAAATGGCATGCAGTGCGAAGGGGTCGAGGGGGTCGCCTTCCTCCAGGCGCGTCGGCAGGGACGGGCAAGCATCGTGCCGAAGACCAGGTTTCGCAGGGCGGCCCCGCAAGGATGGCCGCCACGCGTCCCGAGCGGAGGAGAGAAATCCAGAGGGCAATCGTGTCAGGGGCCGTGGGATCCCCATGAACAGGGTGGTTGGCAATATCCACGCTCAGGACCAAGTTGGCAGGAAAACGCCCCAAAATGTCCTCAACATGCCATTGGAAATCATATAGCCTCCGACATCCCGAGAACAGGTGAAGGATAAACTTGATGGGGCCTGGTGGGGAGCGGGAGGTGACAGAAGGACCCTGGGAGAGGAGGCTCGGGGGGGACCTCAACAACAACAGCTCCTCCTCCTCCTCCTCCTCCTCCTCCTCCTCCTCCTCCTCCTCCTCCTCCTCCCTCGGGAGGGGAGGGAGCAAGAGAGGGAGCAGGAGAGGCGGTGGAGGATGCCGTCCCCCCGTCCCTGCCGATCACGGGCCGCTGGGCTCCCGCAGCCTCAGGCCTCAGTCCCCGAGGGGGGCGGGGCACGCTCACGCGGTCGAGCGGCTGCGGCGGCGAGGACGGCGGCCAGCCACGGCGGCGACGGCGGCGACAGCGAGAGGCCGACGGCCGTGAACCTGGCGGTGGGCGCCGCCCGCGTGGAGGCAGCGGTCGGGGCGGCCCTGCAGGGCGGGGGCGGTGCCGCCGCCGCGGTCGCCGCCGCGAAGGCGAACGCCGCCGCCTTCGCGGTCGCCGCCGTAGTCGTCGCCGCCGCCGCCGTCGCCGCCGTCGCCGCCGTCGTCGTGGTTGCGCCGCCGCCGTCGTCGCTGTCGTCGTCATCGTCGGTGTCGGTGCTGTCGAAGGCGGAGGCGGGCAGGTTCACAGACGAGGACGCGGACTTCTGCCACCGCATCGGCGAGGCTGGCGCGGCGCTGCTCGAGGAGATCCGCGACGCCAAGCGCGCAAAGGCTGGGGCCTGTGGCGAGGAGCCCGCGGCCAACCCTTCGCCAGGGTAGCCTTTTGTGCGACGCTCTCGGGGGGCGTCTGCGTCTGTTCCTGTAGGTCTTCCTGCCTCAGGATGCGCTCCAGCAGCTGCGTCTCGCCAAGAGCGTTCCGTGGGTGCCAGGACAGTCCCGAATGGCCGCCAGAATCCCGAGTAGTATGGCCCGAAACCGAGGGACCCTTCGCCAGAGTGACTGCGATGCGAACGCAGCGGCATGCGCGCCGCTTGTGTTTACCCCCCCGCTCCGATCCCGTGGTAAACTCGGCTACACGGCTGCACGTAAGATCGACCCTCCGCCGGAGTGGCCCCTGCTGCCCGGCTTTGGGGGAGGGGAGGGCAAGCCCAAGCATGCAGGCCGTTGTTGTCGCATCGCATGCGACGATCGGCAGGCCGCGCACCAGAGGTCGCTCTTGCCTAGGGCCACTCTTGCATGCAGGGGGCAGAGGAGCAAGACGTTATGATAGTGATGTGTTCCAGGCGGATTCCCCAAAACGAGGGCCGCTAGTAACTCCTCGGCCGTATCCTGAACCACTTGCATGATGACATCATTCTCGTCCTAGAGGAGCCCGTGGTCAACGTGCTCACCCACTGCAACGCGGGGTGGCTTGCCTTCGCCGACTGGGGCTCCGCGCTCTCGCCGGAGGGGATGGGCGGTGGGCGGTGGTCGATGATAGAGGTGTCAAGAATTTCGGTGGCTTTTCGTACAGTCCGCCTGGCCGCCGTGGGATGTCCTCATGCTGCGGTGCCTGGCGTTAGCTTCACCAGCTCGGGAAATCGCGGGGGCGTCGGCCATCCCTCCGTTGAGGGCCCCGCATGGCTTCTTTGCAGGGGTTTCGGCCACCCCTCCTTGGAGGGCCATGCGTTTGTTGGGTGCGAGGGCATCGGCCACCCCTGCATCGAGGGCCTTGCAACGCTGAGCAAGGGCTTCGATCACCCCTCTTCCGAGGGCCTCGCTGGGCCAGAACATAACAGTGGAATAGTGCCGTTGTCCGCGTCAGTGCGTTGCCGCGTAGCGAATATAATAGACTAGCATTTATTTACTCAGGCGTTGCCGCGTGATGAGTACGGCAGGATGGCATTTGGTTTGCTTTGGGCGCGGTTATGCGACGAGTATAGTCCAGAATCGAAGACTTCCGACAGATTGCATACATTTTGCGTCGGATCCCTGATGATTCATTGGGGACCTCGGGCGTGCGAGCAGATCATCGCGCGGGCGGGCGGGCGCACGGGCGGTCGGACGGGCGGGTGGGCGGTCCGGCGGGCGGGCGGGCGCGCGAGCGAGTGGTCGCGCGGGCGCGAGCGGGCGAGCGGCCGGGCGCGCAGGCGGGCGCGCGGGCGGGCGGGCGGGCGGGCGCGCGGGCGGGCGGGGGGGCGGGCGCGCGGGCGGGCGCGCGGTCGCGTGGGCTGCCGGTCGAACGGGCGGGCGGGCGGGCGGGCGAGCGGGCGGGCCGGGGGGCGCGCAGGCGGGCGCGCGGGCGGGCGGGCGGGCGGGCGAGCGGGCGGGCGGGGGGGCGGGCGCGCGGGCGGGCGCGCGGGCGCGTGGGTCAGATGGCGGCCGGTCGAACGGGCGGGCGAGACGGGGCGAGACCACGCGGGCGCGCGGCGGGCGGGCGACTCGACGGGCGAGCTCAAGGCCGCGTGGGCGAGCGATCGAGCGCGAGGGGGCGCGGGCGGGCGGGCGGGCGGGCGGGCGTGCGCGCGAGCGGTGCGGGTGTGGTGGTGACCGTCGTCGTCGTTGTCGTTGAATTTTCGCGTTAACAGAATCAATAATGACTCGCACTTTGATTTCTATCGAAGAAAATATTCCTGCTCAAACTGTGTCGTTACCCCCCTGGCTGCAACAACAAAGGCTCCCGCCTGATAGTTCCTCACAAAACATTTCAAACTTGCACTCTCGTGCGGGACTTCCTCACAAGATACGTAGGAAGTGCGATTTCGTTCAGGATATCCTGACGGTTTACCAAGGACTTGCGGGCTCGCGTGGGACCTTCTCGTATTTTTCAATCGCATCGCGCTAACGCTTGAGATTTTCTCGCAATTCATGCAGTACTCACGCTTCAGCATCCCGCCTGCTCGACCTGGCCTCATGGGCTCGCCTTCCCGACCCACCCGCTAGGGTCTGCCTGCCCGATCTGCCCGTCTGATTCTGCCGCGTGCTTTCTGCTTTTAGCCCCCCTCTTGTTAATATCTCTCGTGTTCCAACCTTCTCCGTCCCCCTTACATCCGTCCTTGCCTCCCTTGTTTTAAGGGCTGCGCTAAATGCGCGTGGCAGGTAATAAGAATGAGTGTTGTTGATCCCCCTTGCCCGGTGACCATTGTGCTTCCAGTCAAAGTGCTCATCCCAGGGCTCGCACAACTTGTTTCAAAGGGAGATGTGAGGTCATCAAACTGTGCCCTTGGTCCCCTGGTTTACAACAACATCGGGTCCCGCCTGATACTTCCTCATGATTTGTTCCAAAATCGCGCTCTCGTGCGGGATTTCGTCACAATGTATGCAAACATCGCGCTCGAAGGTGGGACGTCCTCGCAATGTATTCAGACGCCGCGCCCTCGGCGTTCAGGAATCGCGTTTTCGCTGTGGTTGTTCTCGCGATTCACTTGGAAATCGCGCTATCGCTCGAGACCCCCTCGCGATGCATGCAGGAGTCGCGCTTCAGCAACCCGACTGCTCGACCTGGCCACGTGGGCCCGCTTGCCGACCCGCCCATTAGGGTCTACCTGCCCGATCAGCCCGTCTGTTTCTGCCACGTGCTTTCTGCTACTAGCCCCCCTCCTGCTACTCTCTCCCGTGCTCCATCCTCCTCTCCCTCGCATCCGTTCTTGCTTGTCTTGTTTTAGGGGCTGCACGAATTACACGCGGCAGGTAAGGAAAATGTACCCCAGTGGGGCACGATCGAAGACGAAGAGGGCGGGTATCGAGGGTTCGGGATACACATGTTGAGTGGCACGCGAGCAGGTAAGAGCGAACAGTCTTAAACTTATTGTTGTTGTCGTCGTCACCGAACCGTTTCCTTCTTGTTGCCCTTGTGGGGTACAGACGATATCATTGATTTCGCCCTTGCGTGCGTTGCCACGTGACGAGTAGAACAATGTGTTTCCGCTCCCTGCGCTGCCGCGTGGCGAGTAGAAAAGAATGGCATTCATTGTTCGCCTCCCTTCACGGGTATGACAAAACACGATTTGTTTCGCTTCCCTACGTTGCCACACGACGAACGTAAGCGGGCGAGCGGGCGAGCGGGCGTGATTGCGATCGCTGTCCGCTAGCGGGTTGGTAGGCGCAGCTGCTTTCATGGCACCAGTTTGCAGAGTAATTGTATCAGTGGTTACCGTTTGGCGTCGTTGTCGCCATTCGCGTTGCCGGTTTGATTTCTCATTTTCGTGTGCACGTGTTCTCGCGAAGTACACGGATGCGCGCGAACCCCGCTGCCGATGTCAACGACTACGGCCTTAAAATTAAAATTTCGGGGTGACCAAGACTCGCTTCGCCAAGGATTTTGCACTGAAGTGCCGCATTCGGGCTCGCGGGGCCAGCTCAGGGCGAAACATTTCCTCGACTTTTCATCGAGCCCGTTTCTTCATTGCTTGGGGCATGACGGGCGTCATGGCCCCCGCCCCCCCCCTATGACGTAACGCTCCCCCATCCCAGTGCGTTCCGGACATTGCCGCCGTGCGCATCGTGATCCGCATAGGTGTCCGCATCGGAATCTGCATAGGAGTCTGGTACGCAGTCGTCGTCGTCGTCGTCGTCGTCGTCGTCGTCGTCGCCGCCGTCGTCGTCGTCGTCGTCGTCGTCGCCGTCGTCGTCGTCGTCGTCGTCGTTGTCGCTCGTCGCTCGTCGCTCGTCGCTCATAGTCGTCGTGCGCGCGGACGCAGCTGGAGCTTGGTTTTCCCAACCATCCTGTGGTGTTGGGTCCTCGCTTTGACGAGACAGCGCCCCGCGTCACCTTCTGCTCACTCCTCCCCCTCCCCCTCCTCCTTCTTCCCATCCGCCTCAGGCCGCATGCGTCAACGCCACCCAGTCCAGCGCTTCGTGGCCCCATGGGAGCTGGCTCCACCGAAGGCTCCGGTGGCACAGGCCGCATGCCCACAGGGAGCTCCACCGAAGGCCCCAGCGGCAGGGTCCGCATGCGGGGATCGCCACCCATTTCGGCCTACCCCTCACACGATTCGTGGCCCAACAGGGAGCTCCACCGAAGACCCCAGGGGCAGGGTCCGCATGCGGGGACCGCCACCCATTTTGGCACACCCCTCACACGGTTCGTGGCCCAACAGGGAGCTCCACCGAAGGCCCCAGCGGCAGGGTCCCCGCATGCGGGGACCGCCACCCATTTTGGCACACCCCTCACAGAGTGCTCGCGCGCGGGCGACCATTCCGAGTTTCCTCAAAATGGTGACACACCGAGTGCCCGCGCGCGGGCGACCATTCAGAGTTTTCAAAAACATGGTGGCACACCGAGAGCCAGGTCCATTGTCGGCCGCCCGCAGCCCCCGTTGTATTATTCCGTACCGACGAGGAGAATCCCAAACATGGTGACACACCGAGTGCCCGCGCGCGGGCGACCATTCCGAGAATCCCAAAACTTGTGACGCACCGAGTGCCCGCGCGCGGGCGACCATTCCGAGTTTCCCAAGAATGGCGACACACCGAGAGTGCCCGCGCGCGGGCGACCATTCCGGACTCCCCAGAAATGGTGACACACCGAGTGCCCGCGCGCGGGCGACCATTCCGGACTCCCCAGAAATGGTGACACACCGGGTGCTCCGCGAGCACATTATCACCCGCACCAGTGCCACATTGTGTGCCGCCGCGAGCACGCCATGGATCATGTGCGTTAGGGAACCGCGGGGCAACGCGCGCAAAACTGTGTGGGTAGCACAATTGCACCTTCATTTCGCAATTCATTCGAAAGGGAAAAACGCTGAACTGTTAACAAAGGCCCCCCCCCCTCCAGCCCGCGGAATCTCCAGAATTCCAGTTTGGTTGCCCCAGGCATAACCGCGCGCGAGGGCGCTTGCGCCATCCGATGGCGAGATCAGGGTTCAGCGCGGGCGCTCGCCGTGCGATCCGCGCGGCGACCCAGCACTGAGAGCGACGTGACACGCGCGATCCCACCCCGTTACGCAGTCGCACAGCCTCGGGCGCCGCCCTGGCCACGCCCGCGCACGCCAACACCCGCAGTCGTAGTCGTAGCCGTGGTCGTAGTCGTAGTCGTAATCGTAGTAATCGTCGTCGTCGTCGTCGTCGTCGTCCTCGGATTCTTCGCCGTATCAGTGGGAAAAGGACGGGGAGGAGGAGGAAGAGGAGGGGAGGATAAGGAGGAGGAGCCGCATCTTTGACCAGACGTGTGCTGTCAGTGCTCGCATAAACACGCTTTACAGTGCTGTCAGTGCCACCGGGAAGGGTGCTACCAGGAGAGGATGCGGGGAAGAGGAGGAGGAGGAGGAGGACGAGGACGAGGACGAGGACGAGGACGAGGACGAGGACGAGGACGAGGAGGAGGGGAGGACGGGGACGGGAGGTCTACGTGGCATTCGACAGGGGCGTTCGGCTGCATGTCTGGGCCGACGAGACGCGCCCCCGCAACCAGGGCGCGGCGCTGACCGCTTGGGAGCTCTCAAAGCACGGGGTGCCCCACACCGTGATAGCGGACAATGCAGGCTGGGCGGGAGAAGATCGATGATGGATAATGGTGGTGGTGATGATGATGATGATGATGATGATGATGATGATGATGATGAGGCGGAGGAGGAGGAGGAAGAGGAGGAGGACGAGGATGATCAATATGATGAGCATTACGAGGATGATGCGGATGATGCGGATGATGAGGATCATGAGGATGATGAGGATGAGGATGAAGATGAGGATGACAATGATGATACATATGAAGATGAAGATGATGATGGTGATGATGATGCTGATGATGATGTTGTTGGTGATGATGATGTTGATGCTGATGCTGCTGATGATGACGACGTTGTTGATGTTGATGATGATGACGATGGTGATGATGCTGATGATGATGATGATGGTGGTGGTGGTGATGATAATAATGATGTTGATGATGATGGTGATGCTGATGATGATGCTGATGTTGTTGTTGATGATGTTAATGATTCTGAGTATGATCATGATGATGATGCTGATGATGATGATGCTGATGATGACGATGATGATGATGATGGTGGTGGTGATGATGATGATGATCATGATGATGAGGAGGAGGAGGAGAATGTCCGTAGCCATTTTGGCTCAAGTTGACATCTCGTCGAGGTGGCGCAGAGGCCAGTGCGCGCCCTGACCAGGGTCGGCCCGCGACACAGGGGTCTGGTCTGCGGCTTCTCTTTCTTGTGAGTACCTGGAAGGGCCGTGCCGACAATCAAGATTTCTCTCTCACAGTCTTTGTTGAAGGGTGCCGCCTACCTGTGTAGTCGTGCGCAGCAGTGGCTGGATCTCAGCAGCATCCCATGCAGCTCTCGCAGGATACCGCGTCGGCTCTGGCTGCGATGCCCGCGTTCTCCTCCCAGCACCCTCCGACTGGAACCAAGAGAGCGGCCCCAGCGAGTGCTACGAAGCGTCCTTGTTCTGCTGGCTACACTGATGACGACTTCGACATTGTGGGCGACTCCGATATCAAAGCCGACGTGGACCACACGAAAGACTCTCTCATGGCGGCCATCGAGCGCACGAAATCCGACATGGCCAACAGCTTCTCCACCACCATCGGCAACCTTGCCTCCACGGTCAGCGCCTCGCGCAAGTCCCTCGGCGAGCAGGTCGAGCGCAGGATGGCGGCTGTCGAATTTAAGATCGCGGCGCGCGACGAGCGGTTCGGGGCAATCGACATCAAGTTGGCAGAACTCCAACGGCTGGTGGTTGTTATCAGATCAGAAGAACCTCCTCCTCAGTCTCTGGTGGACCGCTCGGCCTTCGACCGTGACCCAGACTGCGCCATCCTGGTGGCGAGATCGCGGACTCTTTGCACCATGGACGAGTTCAAGAAGAGCATCGGCCCGATCCTGGGGGCCAACGATCTTTCTCCTTCCGAGGTCGCCTTTGAGGGCGCCCCCGCTTCTACGAGGATTCATGTTCGTGTTCGTAGCGCCGTCGGATACGCCGCGTGTAAGGTCGCCCAGATTCTGGGCTCACAGCATCTTGGGGACAACCAATGGGCCCGCCACTCGGTCACAGACACGTCAGGCTGCTCGACTGACCTCTTCCTCGATTCCGACAAGTCCCCGTGCCAGATCAAACGTGAGCAGCTGGCCAAAACCATCAGGTGCGCCTGCGCCGACGCCTACCCCTCGAAGCGCTTCTTCGGCAACAAGCACAAGGGCGAAATCAGCGCGGGCTGGAAGCCGATCGTTGCTATCTCACCGAACCCCGGCGACGCCCCCCCGTCCATCGAGCGGGCCGAGTCCAACCTCGTCGGCGAGGGCATCGACCGCCAGCGGATCGCCGACTGCATCGCGAACCTTGTGTCGGGGCCAGAGCCGGCGCAGTGGCCCTAGCACGTGTTTGTCTGCGTGGCGCCGCCAGAGTCCTTCCCATGTTCCCATCCTGTTCGGCTCTTGGAACGCCCGTTCCCTCTTCCACTACTCTCGGCGTCTTCGTGATCGAAAATTCCAGTACCTTCGGCAGCTCCTAGGACAAGGCGGCCTCTTCGGGATCCAGGAGACCCATGGGGCCGAGGCCGAGATTCAGAACCTCATTTACCGCCATCACCCCCCTGTCCAGGCTCGCTCGTCTCTGCCCCCCCACTCTTCGCACGCCGGCGGCGTGATCACGTTTCTCCCGAAGTTTATGGCGTCGGCAGGTTTGGCCTTGCCGTGCATCGAGGACTGCGCGCTAGTCCAGGGGAGGGCTTTGAATGTTCGGATCAGTTTCTCGGACGGGACCCTGGCCCCCCACTGCAAGATTCACAATTCTGGTTTATCTAGTATCCAGAGGGACTCCATCATAGAGGCTATCCAGCAGGACTTCGGTTTGGCCCTCCAGAGCACGATTAAGATCCTCGGGATCGTAGGTGGCGACTGCAATGTTGCGAGTGCCCCTCCGATAGCAGCGGACATGAACACCCCTATTACCCACTCCCAGAACCTGGACTAGCGTCGTTCTGAAACCTGCTTGGGACAGGTGCTTCGGTTCCATGTGCGAGATCGAACTCAATGAACCCACCCACTTTCACGTTGTCCAAGGGGCACTCAGCAACATCGATCGCTTGTTTGTTTCTGTTCCAGGGCGGTGCTTGGCTCAGTCGTGCACGGGAGCGCGCGTCCACGGGCTCCCTGAGATCCCCCGCCGCGCCCGCCTCTCCGACCGCGCCGCCATCTCCTGCGCCACCGCTCCCATAAGGCCCGCCAAGGATCGCGCCGCCCCCTCGGACATGTTCAAGCGCCCCGAGCTTGCCGCGAACATCGGAAATATTGTTGAGCAAGTGAACACGCGCGAGATCCCCCCTTCCCTCCGTCTCGCCCTCCACAAGGAGATCATGCTAGAAGCCGCTCGGATCACCAGAGACTCGCTCATCCAGGGAGAGCCCAGCGATCCACTTGCTCAGCTCATCGTCCTCAGGACTATTTCTCGCGTGGTCCGGCGTCATCATATCAAGCTCGCCCAGCGCGTCATGCGCGCCCGCGTGCAGGGCCCGAAGTTTTTGGAGATCGACTCGGCGTCCAATGAGTTTTCCTTCAGGGGCGCAGAGGCTTTCGAGCAGGCCGCCGACGCGGCGAGCGGCCGCCTGTTCCAGTCCGAGCGGGACAGGGCCAGCCTCCGTCTGCAGGAGGCCGCCTGCGAGCTCCCCCTTCAAGCTTCGCCGGCGCCTCAGAGGCCCCCAGAGAAAGATGCCGACTTTGGGCCCCGTTCGACAGCAAACTGCGTCTTCGATGTATTCGCCCGACAACCGACCCGTCGTCCAACGATCGAGCTGCTGCCGACCCGTCCGAGATGTTAAACAAGCTGGCGAAGCATTGGGGCCCTGTCTCTTGCGCGCAGCCCACCGACGAGGCTGCTGCGAAGTGCTTCGTCGAGCGCTTCGGGTTTTTGAGAAATGGCCAGCGACATACCGCCGCCGACTATCCTTGATGTTGAGAAATGCTTCCGACGTTTGAACGCCAGTGCCCCCGGGCCCGACATGCCCCCCTATGATGCCTGGAAGGCCCGCCCTTTCGGTGCCGAGGTTTCGGAAGAATCGCCATCGTGGATGTTAGGAGATAAGTCGCTTCTGCATGGGGTCAACGAGCTCAAGGGTGCATTCATAGCTAAGGAGGACGAGGCCGACGACGACGCGGGTGTCATTAGACGCGCTAGCCAGACGAGACCCCTGGACTTCAATAGTGCCGATATCAAGATCCTCACTGCCGTTGCCTCCAGAGCCCTCGCGAAGCGCCTCCCCATGATCACCCGCAGACATCAAGGAGGTTTCGTCCCCGCCCGCAACTTCGGGGAAACATCCTGGACCTCGACGCGGCCGGTGGGATCGCGTCTACGCAAGACGACGTGGATTCTTGGATGCCCCTGCTCGCGGCTTTCGAGCCAGGCGTTCCCGTCCGTTTGTCACGCCTGGATCTTCCTGGTCCTCCGCCCCCTGCAGAAGGCCCCCGAGCCCTTCTCCTGGTTTTCCACATGATTTGCCAAGATGTGTGGTGCATTGGAGATGTTGGAGCCGAGTCCAGGGTCCTCTTTGCCATAGTCCCGGGGGTCATCCAAGGGCGCCCTGCTTCGGGCATGTCGAGCGCCATCAGCCCCCGCCCGTTCAAGTGCCACTTCGAGGCCCACGTGGAGGACTTGCGAGGGCCTGCGCGGATGATAAAGGCAGTGTTCTTTTCAAAATCCAGGCGTTGCGCCAGCACTTTTCTGCGCGTAAGGCTTGCAAAAGAGTGGGGGATCTTAAGCTAAAAGTGAACGCGTGTTCCATGGTGCCGCTAGTTGGCGCCTTCCCCCCCCTCTGTTCAACGCGCGCGCGCTTCCTGGATTGCCGCTAACCTGCCCGAAGGGGCGGAGATGCGGGTAGTCAGCCATCTCAAGCATCTCGGAATGATGCTATGACCAGGTGCTGGCCAGAGCTCGTGGGACGCCCCGATTTCCAAGTGGTCTTCTCGCGCGTCTTACATTGCCGCTGCCTCTCTTCCTCCCCGAATATGCGCCGTGTTGTACGAGTCGCGTGCTCTCTCCACGTTGTCATATGTGGGCCAATTCCAGCGTCTCCCAGTCAAAGCGACCGGCCCGCTCGGGCAGCGAATTCTCGAGCCCACGTTTAA